CGGTGGAGGAAGAGACAGCATTATGCCTAGTTAAGTCACCAATTAGTAAATTTGACCAAAACATACAGAATGGAAGATAATTAGTGACAACATATTCGAAAAAGCGTGGCATATAATACTTATTAATATAACCATTGTCATCTTCCCTTATCGGGTTCACCTTTTTAATGTTATCCAATTCCTCATTCCAAAATGTCTTTATGGAACATGGACCAGTGACATCATTCTCAAGAAGATCAATGTCTTCTTCATGGCTTTCGGTATCAGATTCCACTTCATTTGCTTCATCAATATTATGTGTTTTAAATGTATTAAGAGTTTCAGAAAACTTATCAAGAGTTTCTTTCAGCATAGCCGAAATATGCTTTGTTTTAAAAATAACGTATGCTAAATTATGATGTTTTTCATTTCATTTAAGAAAGCGGAAATAAGAAGCCTAAAGAACCGCATTGCAATATGAATTTGACTATTGGCTGGATAATTAAACTCGCACAAGGTCTTGGCATGACGTTTTATTATTTGCATCATATGCGCTGAACATACATGATGTATGGTTTTCTGTGACTCTTCTAGCGTAGCTTTTCCTATGACAATTCGATACGCTCGTTCGAAATATTCATCCAATGACTCGTTATTAAATTCCTTCAAGCAGGCATTTATAATTGCCAAACTGAAATCACTCATCACAAGCACGGGATTTACTTCCTTGTTAAAGATCTCCTTTTCACGCTCTTTTAGCTTACGTATCATTATTCCAACGGAGTCTGCTGTATGACGGCTTGCTATATACCCAGCTATTGGAACAGGTAAGTTTTCAGGAAAAGGATTCCGTAACACAATAGCGTAATATAGAAGTCTTCAATGCGTTTTTTCATTTGCAAACAAGTTTCCAGTTGCATCAATATAAATTATGTCGTGTCTTGATAGTTTGTGATAAAGCCGTACAGAAGCTTCATTGAATAATACGATGTTTATATTTCGATACATGCTGCACATTTGAATATATCCAAAAAAAATTCTCCATACATGTCCAAGATTGATGGCGGTCTTTTCGTCTTCTTCCGCAATGGAAACATGCAACTGTGATAAACTTGTGACAAAGTGTTGGTCACTTTGGTGTCTGGCTTTTGTTTCATGTTTAATTCCTTTCATTGTGCTGTTGGTAAGACCTGCTCCTGTTCGTACACCAGCAGCGAAACAATCTACGTCTATTCCTAGAAGATTGTCTCGGTGCATCTTCGATGGTTCTTGGTTTGAGTTCCAAACATGTTCAATCAATTTTGATCGTTGATCACCAGTAATTTTCTTTGCCTTTGCTGATGTTATATCATGACAGACATCTCCAATGAAGCAAATTTCTAACATACCATCCTCTCTGTTTTCAATCCTTAAGCACACTGTAACATGTCCGAATTTGCATGTTGCCATACCGCACCAATACGGAGACGATTTTTTTTTGGAATCTTCCTTCTTTATATAGTTTCGTTTAAAAATCCAACAGCAGTATGGATTAAATTTTTTTAGAATATCTGAGAAAAATGAGGTGTAACCAGTATCAAACGCTCTGTGACTTCTTCCTTGATTATTATCTGAGATGTTCTTTACGAGTAAATCACGCCATGCCAAGGAAAGTGAAATAAGGGACACCTCTTTGCTGAGTTTTGCACAAAATGTAGCAGAAGAAGGGACATTGCTGCCAGATAATGACATAGCTGTTGCGCCTGAAACGTTTGGGATGTTAAGAAACTCTAATCCGGTCACAGATGGTTTAACTTGTTCATAGCTGAGACATTCATCTGAAGTCAAGTTACTTACGAAATTAGTTTTTGAGTTACGCTTCAATAACCCCTGCGTCTGTTTAATACTAGATGTGAAATTACGGTTGCGGTATAGTTTCCGTTTTTACGCGTTGATGCTCATTTTGGCCCATGAAATTTTTCCGATAAATTGAGCTTATAGCTCTTCCTATAACATTGCAAAGGAATTCGGTCATTTCGTCACCATTGTGACAGGGCTTATCCATTGCTATGCTCCTAGACGCTGTACTTCCCGAATGTGCCTCCATTAACTTAGTTTTTAAATCTGATATTTTGCTGCTTGTACTTTCGGAACGATTTGAAATTCAAATTCACTTGTTGCAGACCCTGTTGAAGTCTGACCTACCACATTATCATCATTGTTGTTGTTCTCACACTTTCTCCGAATTCCACCTTCATCCCTTCGCCAGGCTAAATGTAACTTATCAACTTTCTTATTGCTTACCTTCATGTCACCAAAGTATTGAGAAGCTACAGTTTTCCAAAACTGCTTCTTAGTAGACAAGAGAAGCGATTTGGCAAAGCCAATGGAATCAACAAACCGTGCTTGATCCAACACATTCTTACAATTTTTTCTTTTACTTTTAGATCTACCACCGCCGAGTAAACCAGTACAAACCTCATTGCAATGAAACACACAATTTTTTTTGAATAACCTCTCTTTTTCGGCAATATCAACCAATCTTCTTGCGTGTAATTTCCTTTTCAAATTTTTGCAAGGTGACAAACTACGCGAACGCTGGAGTCGATAGCATTTCTGTATTATTAAGCTTCTTGGTTTATAGGACACAAACATTTCCGACTTCATGACTATTTTCGGCTTACAATTGAGATTTAGCCCTTATGCAAGTGCAATGAGGTATCCAATACAAAGTTGCTTCCTCACAAGCATCCACATTAAAACTGCCCTAAACTGAGATTTTAGCTAGTATTTATGCGCAACACCACCGGAATGAGATATCTAGAACTTGGCGCTTGCGCAACGGATACAGCTTGCTTACCGCAATTTGCGCATTATTTGCTGAAACAAGCTGTTAACTCGGAAACAGTTAGCTAGCAGCGTAAAAATAACAAACTTGTTTGTTTCGCATTTACAAAAATACAGAAAAACATCCTGTTACGTTTGGAAACCAACAAATGTAACTGTAATTTATAAGCAGGGTTTAGCTTATAGTTATAAGCAAGATAATAGCAACATCAAGTTTGTAGAGGAGATCAATCACACCATGGTTAATATAACGGTTCTCATATTAACTATGATCAAACCAAACAAATCTTTCGTCCAGGCACACAGGAAAACCCCCAGAAATGATAACAAATTAATGCTTTGTTTTGACCATTGAATCAGGGGGTGCATACTTCAATATGCTTTGCTTCTTCTCGCTCTACGTTAGAAACTAAACTACAGAAACAAATGAATTTTAGTTAAATTTGTGCCTATAATGCCACCAAAGAATGGAGTAAGAGATTTTAGCCAAACAACCTTACATTGAGGAGAGATATTTTAATTTCGCCTCAAAAATGTGCCCACTCTTTCGCGTTTCCGGCAAGATTAGTGGTTTCAGCAAGACTTGTTATGCTCGCAATTCCTATCAGACGGAATGACCTCGAAAGTCAAATTTCATAGATATTGTTGCTTTTATATTTATGAAGAACGGCATTGAAGCGTTTTGTGTTGCGTTTTATATTATGGATACCATATTAGATACAAAGAAGCTTGACGGGAAATGGAGTGCTTCTGATGCAAAAGCAAAAGGCCTAAAAAGGAAATAATTGGACAAACTATTTAGTTGATTTGTAAAATTTGAGTGTGGAAGGTGGAACCTGTTTTTTGGGTCAATGTTTTGCGATATATATTTTATTTTGAGTTATATAGCATTATATAAATGGAACTTTTTAAATGTTATGTGTAATGCACATATCCACTAATAAAAGTCAACAAAAGTGTATTAAAAACGCAAAAAATGCGCAATAATTTTTATCTGTGCCTGCAAGGAATTTCTATTCAAAAGAAAGGAATTTTAGGCTCCTCTGACAAGCTTGACATTAAATATCCGACTTGTTTCAAGCCTGTTTTAACGACTTTGTTACATACATGATAATGACAACCCATTAACAACTTGTTCCAACAATGATAAGCAAGCAGCTAGTGCAAAGACATGTTGTTTATAACTTGTAAACAGACTTGTTCCAACAATGATAAGCAAGCAGCTAGTGCAAAGACATGTTGTTTATAACTTGTAAACAGACTTGTAGTGTAACGGTCTTTGTTTTATTCGATTTCGACGAACATTCGATATTCATTTCTTTGCTGACAGTCAGTTTGGTCATCAATAACACTTGACTCTTTCAATAATTATAATTAGCCGTCGTAATTCGTTTGTATTTATGTATTTGATATTAACGATTTGCGATAACAAAATTCTGTACTAGCCAAGGTACAACCTTGTGCCGACTGTGTGGACCACGCGCGGAGCACCCGCAATACAGGTGACCCAAACTAAAACATGCGTATATCGCTTACATGGCTCCCTTAAAATTGTTATTAACTATTTTAATATAAACTAACATCATAGTCAGGCCACTATTTTAAACTTACTAACTAGTGTTCGAGTTCGAAATAGGCCTTATCTAACCGATTTAACAAACTATTCGTAATATTAAGTGGTATTTTTATGTATACTTAGCTACAGTTGCACTCTTTTGTCTTCATCATGGCTCTCCGTCTGGGAATTCACCCGGTCTTCTTTAGATTTTCTTCCGAGGCTTCAACTAATAGAACTAACTTGTTGATTGGACGATCCAAGATTGAACCACTTGCGGTTTGTACAGTTGCTGATCGAACAAAACATTGATCATCTTCATTGACATTCGTTACTCTTGCCATAGGCCAGTGATTCCTTACTTTGTCCACGTCGATCAGCAAAACTATGTCTCCTACTTTGAAGTTTCTCCATATACCCATCCATTTCGATCTAGTTTGAAGATTCTGCAAGTACTCTTTTTTCCAGCGTGTCCAGAATTGATTCGACAGGTGTTGTACTCGCCGCCATCGTCTTCTACAATAAATATCTTCGTTCTGAAACTTGCCCGGAGGTGGTAGCACTAGTTTCGTTTTGCCTGTCAGTAGTGCATTCGGAGTGAGTGGTAAAGGCGAGAGGGGATCATTTAACGTTTCCACAGTTAAGGGCGACCATTAACGATTGCTTCTGATTCACAGATGAATGTACGTAAAGACTCATCATCTAGTTTCTGACCATGCTGCCTGATGAGAGCGTTCATGACGTTACGGACAGATCGAATTTGTCGCTCCCAGACTCCTCCGAAGTTACTCGCTTTCGCTGGATTTTTTATCCAATCAATACTATTCTTCAGCAGTCCGATTTTAATCTTGTCATCATCCATCTCTTCAACAGCTTTCTTCAATTCGTTTTCCGCGCCTATAAAATTAGTTCCTTGATCACTACGAAGTTCTCTAATGTTACCTCTGCGACAAATGAATCTACGTAGCGCTTGTAGGAACGAGTCCGTTTTTATTGAGTGCGCAATCTCAATATGTATAGCACGACTACACATACACGTGAACAATGCTCCGTACCGCTTGACTTCTTTTCTGCCTTCTTTCACGTACCAGGGACCAAAATAATCGACTGCACTATAGGTGAATGGTGGCACGTCTTCGAGTCTCGACTGTGGCAGGTCAGCCATCTTCTGTTCACCTGCAGTTCCTCTAAGGCGTCGACAAGTTACACACTCTGAGATTAGTCGTCGAACTACTGTATTGCCATTGATTACCCAATAACCGTGAGATCGTAGTTCGTTCATGGTTATACCTCTACCACTGTGTTGTGTTTTCTCATGAACATAGCTAACAATCAACTTCGTAAAGTGTTCAGACTTCGGTAAGATAATAGGTGTTTTTAAATTTTCCGTGAAGTTTGATCTACGTATTCTTCCTCCAACTCTCAGAATACCGTCGGAATCTATGAATGGATCTAGCGTCTGAAGCGAGCTCGTTTTCTTCAAAACGGCTTTCTTTTTCTTATCGGAATGACGATTGCTTAACGATGTATCAGCTTGAATGCTCTTTATTTTCTTGATCTCCGTAGGAAATGCCTTGGATTGTACCAGCTTGATTATCTCCATCTCTGATTTCTGCCATTCTTCTACGGATATCGACGAACTCGCCGAAACTCTTTCTACACTTTCACTCTCAACCTTCTGGTTTAGTGAATCGTTCTTCCTCATGTTTACTTTCTCTTTCAGATTCTTCTTATATCTTAGACAAAGTGCTACTGCTATTTTCACCGTCTTCAAGCTTGAAAAACGATGTAGTCTACTGAGTATATCGTTCTCCTCCGTCACTATGTTCGCGTTGACGTTGATCTTCGCTTTTACCTCAGGATCGTCTGTATCTAACTTGTATTCAACGGCAACTCCATTCTGCCACGTCTCTTCTGATTCTCTCAAGAATTTGGGACCTTCAAGCCACTTCGAATTCTCAACAAATTGCTTGGCCGTTACACCGCGCAATCCTTCGTCTGCGGGATTATCTGAGGACCACCTTGCTGTCCGTCCAATAGTATTCTTCCAAGTCTTCATAACTCATCTCATCTCTCAGTACGTCTGTTATCTTGGCAGCAATTGTAGCAGCCGTCAGCTCAAGTCTTGGAATACTGACAGTTTTCTTCGGAGCTACTCTAGCCTTTCCCATTTGGAACGAAACATGAATAGTTCCGTGTTCATCTACCAATCTCAAATAGGAGCATTGACCATACCCCGTATTAGATGCATCTGACATGGTATGAAGTTGGGCGGACTCGATCTTTCCGAATCCCGGAGGCTTCGAGCTTCTTTCTACTTCTACGTTTTCGAGCAGGAACAGTTCTGTTCTCCATTTCTCCCATCGCACCTGTGTTGTCTCGCTAACTGGCTCGTCCCAATCTCGGGTGTTACATATCTCTTGCAGGATCTGCTTTCCCACTAACACTACTGGGGCGATGAATCCAAGTGGGTCATATACCGAGCTAATAGTTGCCAGTATTCCTCTTCTCGTGCAAGGTTGATCTTTAAGCTGTATTCTAAACTGCAATGTGTCCGATTCAATGCACCAACTCATTCCGAGTGCCCGTTCTATAGGTAACTTATCCTGTCCTAGGTTTAAGCCTTTGATCTCTTTCGCTCGGTCTTCTTCCGGGATCAGCTCGAGTACTTTGCGACTGTTGCTTACAAACTTGGTCAGATTGAATCCTCCTTTCTTACATATTGCCTTTGTTCCTTGAACTACTTCGATCGCACTTTCCTCCGTAGGAACAGATTTAAGCATGTCATCAACATAAAAGTTCCGTCTCAGTGTGTTCGCTATGTCTGCTCCAAATTCTTTTTCATGATCGTCAGCTGTACGCTTCAGTGCAAAGTTAGCACATCCTGGCGAGGATGCACCACCAAACAAATGGACGGTCATGCAGTAGTCCACAGGTTCTTTTGTCAAGTCAGAGTCTGGCCACCACAGGAATCGTAGATAGTTTCGATCTGATTCCGTTACCTTGACTTGGTAGAACATTTTTTCCACGTCTGCCATCACTCCTATTCGTTCTTCTCTGAATCGTATCAAAACACCCGTTAATTTGCTGGTCAAGTCCGGTCCTTGTAACAGATGTTCGTTAAGGGACTCTCCTTGATAACGAGCTGAGCAGTCGAAAACAACTCGAAGACTATCAGTCTTCTTCCGATGGTAGACTCCGTGGTGTGGCAAATACCAAATACGTCCTTCTCTTGCTGTAACATTCTTTTCTTTCGCTTCGGTCGCATACCCTTTACTTATTATATCATTCATGAAGTTAGTGTAGTCTTGTCGAAACTTGTCGTCAGATAAGAGCCGTTTCTTCAGACCCTTTAATCGTTGTTCGGCTTGTGGACGGTTATTTGGAAGAGTAACGTTCTCACCTTTAAATGGCAATGGCATTTCATAATGCGAGTCTTCACGATGTACGATTCCGTTTCCAACCTTGTTTAGAAACTCACGATCTTCCTTTGAAATTGCCAGCCCTTTCTCCTTTTCCGAGAAGTCTGATTCAAACATTCTCTCTACAGTTTTCGGCGCTATTTCTTCTTTGACATTTCTCTCGGTTACAATGCATCCTGACGATTTACCAGGATTTGATACGTGTGCTCGATTACAACGAACCGTGACATCACCATTGCTGCTTACTGGACCATTAACATACCAACCAAGTATAGATTGCACTGCGTACGGTTCCGTATCCTGACCGTGTATTACTTCTCTTGGACGCAGAGCCTTTGGGCAGTTCAGGCCAATTAGCAGGCCAACCTCTACGTTCTTCATATACGGGGCTAGTTGTTTGCTTATCTTCTGAAGATGTTGATGCTTCACAGCAACTTCTGGTCTTGGTATCTCATCTCTGTCGATCGGTATTTGTTGTCTCTCATAACTTCTTGGTAGGTCCACAGATACGTCTTCTTGCTGATAGTTTACAGCTATTAGACCATTGACCACTCTTGTTTCGATCTCTTGTGTACCATGCATAGTTGTCAACACTAACGTAGTGTTCTCACCATTGATCCCAAGTCTATTCATGGTTTCTGTCTTAATGAATGTTCCACCACTTCCGTTATCTAGTAGAGCATATACCTTTACTTTATTCTCTGGTTTGCTTTTATGGAATAGCCAGACCGGTACAACTCCCATGCTGACTGGAACATCGCCAGCTTCAGTGATACTGCATACGGTAAGTCCACTGTTTATTCGTTCTTGATCGTTCTTCCCAAGTTCTTGTGTTTTGTTATCCTCTCTTGAATCAGTTTGGCGCCTTTTGGACTTTGACTTCCAATCAGGGTCATGTAGTACAGAGGGATGCTTCTTCTCACACGTCTTGCATGTTAGCTTATCATTACACTTGCTTGAAATGTGTCCTTGTTTCAAACATCCAAAGCATAGCCCCTTTTCTCTAATAAAGCCTTTACGCTCAAGCAGAGTTTTCTTTCGAAATTCTTCGCACTCATTTAAGTTGTGTGGCTTCAAGCATAATATACAGCTCTTAGTACGTTCTTTGTCTTTATTATCCCCTTTAACTACTGTACCAAAGTTCCTAGTACCCTTGTCTCTTCGATATCGTCCGGTGTCACCGAATTTATCCTTACTCTCTTCCTTCGACCTTTCCGAGAAATCTTCTGAGAACACTTGGTCTGTGGCGAAGTCAGCTTGTTCTGTAACGAACTTACAAAATTCAGCAAAGGTTGCGTTTCTGCTCTGACTACTTCTTATTCTACTTGCTCGCTCTGTCCACTTGCTTCTCATGTACAGCGGTAACTTTTCCCATAGCTGACGTAACACTTGGGCAGTATTAAGGTCATCCATGTAGGGCAAGTTGGTTGTTGCATTCTTAGCTTGTTCTAGTGCGATAGCAAATTCTTGCAAACGCTTTCCATCCTTAGGTTTTACTGATGGCCATTTGGTGAGCCTCGCAATGTAGGCGTTTGCTACTTTGAAAGGATCTCCAAAATGTTTCTTTAACAACGCTTTAGCTTGGCTATAGGAATCATCCGATTTCATTTGAATACATCCTTTAATCACCTCGTTTGCCTTTCCAGATGTGTATTGGTCTAGGAAATACAACCGTTCGATAGGGCTCTCGACTTTAGCTTCTATTAGCGACTCGAAAGCGTTTATAAATCTTGAATACTCCATTGAGTTTCCTGAAAAGGTCGGAGGTTTATGAGACGGGAGTAGACTTCGAGCTTGCTGCATCATAATAATTTCAGAGATGTTAGTCTGCTTCTTCTGAACCTTGAGAAATTCATCGTATATGCGGTTATTCAATGGTAGGTTTTGCTCAATGTTCTGATCCGTATTTTCCTTAATCTTTGTTGAATCTTGGGGTTGGGTTTCATTATCTGGTTTAGGAATGAACGGTGAAGCTCCTGGATTCATTGTTGAGACGTTTCCACCCTGGCTTGTGCTGGTTGTTGCAAGATTAAGTTTTGAAGGAATCTTTGGGCATGAAGATTCTGCAGGGTTGTCATTGGGCTTGGTTGGGATTACTTTACTCTTCATTCCTGATGTTGGGATACAGTTAGGATGACCAGTAGGAAACTGATCAGGTTCTTGGTATTCAAACTGTTCAAAAACCCTTTCTTCTGCCTTTGCCTGTGCAATTGTTTGTCTTAGCTCCAGCTCTTCAGCTGCCATCTTTAGGGCCTGACGTTCCTTCAAAAATGCTGCCTTAGCTTCTAGGGAAGCTGTCTTAGCTTTGGCTTGTATTAACTGTGACCGATTGGAGGATCCAGATGCATACGATCGCCTTGAGTGGGTGTACCTAGATTTTACTGAGCTCCTACTGAATTCTTCCTTTAAATATTCCTTTGCTTCGTTTAGATAGTTAATGATGCTTTGTTTAAATGCGAAGACTTCCTTATCATGCATGTCGAACCACTCATTTGCTTGGATGATTTCATCATCATCATCGTCATTTAATGTAAGCAAGTAACTTTGATGTATACCATGCATTAAGGCGAATAACTCATCCAATTCTTTCACTTTCATACGCACAAGTTTTTGGTTTGATAGGCTTGACAAGAGTGGTTTAATTGTGTTCATTTGTCTTGTAACGTTAGACAAAGCAGCCCTTCGGTCATTTTTAAGTTTATTCAATGTATATTGCCTACTTTTCTCTGTAGGTACTTTATTTCTAGCACCGTATGTTCCTTTATCACTTTCTGGTCCTGTAAATACTAGGGATGCTGTGTTTACATCCGCTGTTCGTTCTTCGTATTGTTTCGTGGGCCCGCTCACAATTTCGCCTGCCATCACATTTTCGCTTGTGTTTTCTAACGTTGGCAAAACGTTTGTCGTTTCGATTTCTCGTGTGAATTCCACGTCTTCGAGAACTTTTCCAATATCCTTTCCGTTTTCCTTTCGAATATCTGGCCCTTGAAGTTCTCTCGTACTCTCTTCTGCGGATTTCGATTCATGTTTTTCGTCCATATTGTTGTCGAAGACAATCTAAGGTTGTACTGTAACGGTCTTTGTTTTATTCGATTTCCACGAAAAAATTCGATATTCATTTCTTTGCTGACAGTCAGTTTGGTCATCAATAACACTTGACTCTTTCAATAATTATAATTAGCCATCGTAATTCGTTTGTATTTATGTATTTAATATTAACGATTTGCGATAACAAAATTCTGTACTAACCAAGGTACAACCTTGTGCCGACTGTGTGGACCACGCGCGGAGCACCCGCAATACAGGTGACCCAAACTAAAACATGCGTATATCGCTTACATGTAGCAAGCTATTCCACAAGTTGTCACAAGCTTGTTAAGCCAACAACTTGTCAACATCACATTACAGATAAGAATTTAAATTATAAATACCAATATAATATATAATTACTGTTAGACAATTTCGTGACTGTGGGCAGTTGAAAAATTTTGGATTACGACTTAAGATTCCTACCTACAGTTCTCCCCCCATCTTCCTTATGACTTGTTCAATGACAGGCATGAAATTATGTTTAAAAATGTCTTCAACTTTTCCAAGCGCAAATGTTATCACCAGTTAAAGTTGAATACATGTACAGTCAGTACAGTAATAAGTAATAAATACCAGGAAACAGAACGATGAGCTAATTGGCTCTATTTTCACATTCCTGGCTCCACATTCAGATTCGAATGTAGAGCCATACAGAGGATTTTTGCAATGAAACTGCGATAACTTCGGAACGGTTTGAGCTATCCAAAAAAAAAAGCCATTCTTTATAAACATTTAATGAATGAAATAAAGCAAACTTAGAGCTTTTTAGCTTATTGCGTTTATGCTGGAGGCCGAGCAAAACATATGGTAATTTGTCTTCGCCTCGCGATCGAATGTAGAGTCAGATTTAAAACTCTGCACGAAAATGATTATATCTCAAAAACCATTTTGTATACAACAAAAATATTCAATGTGTCATTCTGCATCAGCCTTAAATGTTCAAACTAAAGTTTCTAGGACTTTGCAGCTTGCTCTGCGTAGAATGAGCAAGATTATTGTTTTGACGCGGCGTCCAAATGCCATGTGACGGCCGCAGATGCTGAAACAGAAAATTAAAATGTTATCTTTTCGAAACCCGTGCATATATCGAAATATGCTGAAATGCCATTCTGCATCAACATTGGGAAAATCCAATTTACTGAACCGAAACTTTTTACCTTGTGTCATATGGTCTGTAGACCGAGCAAAACATATGTGCCATCATGCGCCGCCATATGTTAATCTCAAACACCAAACTACATGTCGCGAACATATCGCCGTATTTCTCCAAAACAAAAAAGCGTGGTAATTTCCATGGTAATTTCTTAACAACATTAGCAAACGAAGGAGGGGCTCGGGGTGCAGCTCTTTCGGGCAAAGTGCACTGGGCTACATCATGAATTTCAGCATCTAAATCAAATCTTTGTTGGATCTGTTCAATACTTTCAATGAGAAAGTTATTGGAATTGATCAAAAAGTTATGCAGGTCAACACCATCTCTGCTTGTGTCTTCCTTTATTTCGTTTATGGTTGCAGTGGCTGCCACACCAAGGTATATTTCATTCAAGGGATCATGGAAACTGACATTTTTAGGATCAATGTCTTTCAGGTTGGTTTGCTTGACATGACGGACCTCCATAAAATCAGCAGAAAGAGTCCTTATAAGTCCTTCTACTTCAACTTTGAGGCTTTGAAAAAGGGGCTTTTCACCTTGAAAAAGGCGATTGAAATCATTCAATTGGGAGAGTTGGAAACTTAAAAATTCAAAGTAAGCCAGGGTGTACTTGTTGTGGAGTAACTTCACAATGCGGTCAGTGGCGTGTGTTGGATCTTCACTAGTAACAAGAATAAATTAGTGTTGTAAAGCCATGTATTGTTCCAAAATGCAATTGATGGAAGTCTCCAAGGAAAGCCAATGTGTTTGACCTGGTGATAGCAATTGGAGGGGGTCAACACTAAAAAAACTGTTGGGACTGGCAGTAGGTATCTTGCCTTTTCAATGAGCGACTAAAATGCGAGAACACATCTCAACACAAATCTTCTAAGCCTTTTGGCAATTTAAGGGCTGCTTGAGATGATGCCAAATGAATCAAATGACATGAACACTTAACTGTGACCACATTTGGGTAATCTGTTTTCAAAAGTTGGGCAACAGAACTGAATTCTCCGAACATAACATTTGCCGTATCTGAAGAGTAGCCAATTATTTTGCTCATTGGAATGTGGAAATCAGCGAATGATTGCTTTACTGCTGAGTAGATGCCTTTAGCTGTCCCATCTTCGACTTCAATCATGTCAAGCAAGAACTGCTTTGAATGGAAACTTTCCATATCAAAATAGCTGGCGAGAATTGCAAGCTGTTTACCTGTAGTCTTATCGGTTGTTTGATCGATAATGAAGATGACTTTTTAGAGTGCAATGTAGATACTGCTTCCTTTAAATAATCAAATCCGAGGACCTGTTGTATCAATTCGTTGCCTTTTGCTTTCTGAAAGTAATATTCTTGAGAGTGTTATCAAGTGGGAAAAGTGATCTAAGTAATTCCAGCATATCATCAGACAGAGATATTGGTAAATTATGGTCATCCAGGAATGCACATAACTTTATTTCCATTGAACTTATTTCCTCTCAATTTGCAGCTTTGGTGAAAAGGCTAGTGATTGTGCCTGTATTTGCAATAGTGCTTCAAAACCGTCTTTGAGCATGACAAAAATTTATCACAAAACTTGCAGAAAGGCTGGGAAGTGTTATCTCTTCCAATTCTTTGCACAGCCATACGTTGAATTGTTTGTCAGTCAACCAGCTGTCTACAAAAGCTTGAACTTGTTTTGGTCTTTTACGTTTGATTGTTGAATGCAAGGCATTGCTACTATTGCCTACTTCTTCCAAAGATGAATCTGAATCATCCATATTTATGACATGATTAAAATTTAAAATCGTTTGTACTTACAATGTCAGAGTGACAGTGAAGCGGGCAGCAAAAGTTAGTGGACTTTGACTGACCCCCCAACACAGAAATATATTGAACTATATGCACACTTTGCACACGAGAAAACACAGGAAAAATCAGTAAGACCAAGTTAGAGTTACTTGTATTGTGCGTATTAGGATTGTGATTCGTGCTTTTGTTTTGAAACCTGCTCATATTTACAAAAGCCAGTTTATGTTACTTTACTTTTTTACTATTTTACAAGATATTATACAAGGTTACTCACCTTGCAATACCCTACATAAGATAATTTTTCCTTGCAAATTTCTGGTGTTTTTCAATTCCTTGCATTTTTCCTTACAAGGGGCTAAAATTCCTTTGGCATGGAAAAATCCATGCAAGTGGAAACACTGTTTAGAACTCCATAAATTTGTAGTTTGCATAGTGTGGAACAGAGCATTGTAATGTTTTTATGTATTTTTTAGCAGGTATATAACTTCAGCTTGAAAATAGATGCATTATTTGATTGAAGTAATTGAACAATTAAAGACTTTTTTATTTGATCATATAAAATGTTATACTTTAATATAATATTTAATTTATAACTTGAGACCATTACAAATTTCAACATCAACGTTATTGAACTGAATAAATACTATTGAATGTGACTGCATGAAAGCTTTATGCAATTCGTATGATTTTTATTTATTTAGAATTCATGAACAAAATACTGTTAGTCTGAATGGCAAAAAAACATTAATCTTACCATTCCAGTTTAATACAATAATTCGTAACTTTGTGTCATAGTATTAATCATAATTATTTAATAATCATTGACGTATCCAAATAAACAGCGAAAAATGAAAATCGAGTTTCAGTTTGTCATGTGCTTTATACTGGGAAAATAAAATCACCCCCCTGGGAAAATCGTTATGATTCATCAAAATTGTTGACGCTTGTTTAAACAATGTTGTTTCAGCTTGTTGAAGCAATATTGTTGTAAATTGTTAAAAGCATAAAACAACATTGATTTCAGTTGTTCCAACAACATTGTTCATGCATGCTGATTCATCAACCGCGAACAATATTGTTTGAACAATGCTGATCAATGTTGATAACAAGGGTTGTTATGGGTGGGCAGCACAACATTGCCGCATCCTGATACGAAAAATATTAGAACAAGTTGTTATCAAGTTGCATCAACCTGATCGTTTTTAGGCGTGTATACAGCTAAGAATTCTGAGCC